CTTGATCCTATTATAGGGCCTTCTCATGCCAAAGGGTGGATGTTTTTTTCGCTCCCCAGTGTTCTCCATTAGTGAAAATGGTGTGACAGGCAATTGGGGTGTGGGAGGTAGTTAAATCGAGGCGGTGGATAACGAAAACTCTTAGTTAGATTGTAGTGTGTGGTGTAAGTACGTCCGCGTTCAGGTCATCGCTATCACAGTACTCAGGGTTGCGTTCGAAGAGGCGTCTGTTACAGCAGCTTTTATGAGCAGTCAGCCAGTTTTTTTTTAATGAAGGACGATCTCCGCGCTATAGACATTAGTGTAGATTGAACCATTTTTTGTTCAAATTAGTGTAGATGTTTTTCTACAGTTTGCGTTGCTAAGTTTTCGTACGCAAAACTATAGTAACGGGAGGTTGCTGTCTGACATCTGATTACATTTGAATTCTGAAACTGTCAGAATGTTATTTGACTTCTGATGAATTGGTAGAATTTAATTGCCTTTCTATAATAACGAATGTTCAGCCAGTGTGGAGAGTGACAAGTCAATGATTTTTTTTTAATTTGAAAGTTTAAATGACATCTTCTCTTAGTCGCTTTAAGAATATTTAGATAAGAAGTCCCAACATTAATGTACCTACTGGGGTTCGCGCAACCTTTCGGCAACAGTAACTCCTGAACTCACGGTAGGTCTCAATGTGGGGATTGAAGATGTCTAGAAAATGATCCCTTGAAATACCAGTTGCGTATACACTACTGACCAGAGAGATGGGCCCCATCGGCTTGTGTTTATTCACGGAAAATCGAGCGAACTTCATGCTTTTGTAAACTCGCTTTGTCTTCGATATATTTCTTATAGAGATTCAGGTCTAACGAACTTTTGATGAAGCTAACTGTCCAGGAGAATGGTTCATGATTATTGGTGATAATCAGTTTGAATACTTCCTCAATTTTATTAGCATTTTTTCAAGTTGAGAGAGCTGATACACAGACTGGAGCCTTCAGTCTTTGTGCTTATTAAGCTTCACAGATTTTGACTCTCGATTTCTCTCATATTATAGAGGAAATCTGCATTTTGTAGGTACGACCCTCGCGAACTTAAATTCGTACGATCTTGCGATAAGTAGATTAGAAGTGTTTGGACGGCAGAAGTTTCACATCTACTCTATGCCCATTTCAGGTTACATTGATGTAAAAGTGATTACTCGCATCTGAGCTGTGTTTTATTTTTTTACAAGAACACAAGTCGCAGGGAGGCGAACAGCCGTCGGCACGTCTAAGGCATGCCCTAGTCGTTCTCGCCTGGCGAACAGACAGCCAATTAAAATACAGCTAGGCTTTTGCGACATGTGTCGCGTGCCTATACAACGTCTACCTCTCCTTATTTTTGTCTTACTGGCTCCGTAAACTACACACGTTGAAGGTACGGTGTGATCAGACAACTTTTTAGTCAGCCAATGAGTGTATTAGAGGTTACAAGGGCTGAGCCGAAGGACCCACCATAGATCTAATGGGCTTTTGGTGGGCAGCAACGGATCGCAAAAACGGGCATACATCTCCGTATGTAGTGAGATGGG